CCCCCCTATCTACCTAGCAGCCTCTCTAGCAATCGATTTCACGATCGGAGTGGCACCCTGTTGCGCGCCAGATGGTCGAAAGCATTGACTGCTGTGCGGTGGTGGTGAAGACGATAGGGGTGATGATGGTGATGATTATGATGATGCTGAGTGTGATGATGCTGGAGATGGTGGTCATGTTGATTAAGATCATCCGCATGATCGATTTCACGGTACTGCAATCGATATGGCCAACGTGTCTTGCCCTGAACCACAGCATGCTCACCGTCTATGAGCGGCAGCGCGGCCAGGCCGTTCACAGAGAACCGGTGGGAGACGCGTGCGAGCTGCTCATCTACTTGTCGATCTCACGATCGATCTCCCTCCGTCGACCGATATCACGACGTATCGATCTCACACTCGACTTCACGATGGATGTCAACATCGATTTGTCAATCAATCTCACGATCGACCTCACGGGACACAAAGGGAAACCACGGGACACCGCGCTACGGGACACCACGGGACACCGGCGGGACACCCCTGGGCCACTTCCGCCAACCGAGGGGCGTAGAGTCATTGAGACCAGTGTGGCCTTAGCTACGGCGGGTTCGTTCCCCTCGCCCTCCCACGCAGCTTCGCCTCGCCCGCACGCGCGACACGAACACGAAACCGAAACCGAAACCGATCCCTTGGCGTGGGATCTCCGTTTCACTTCGACCTCACCCCCCAACTTCCGATACGCCAACATATGTGTCAAGCAGAGGCGAAGCGTCCTGGCTCGCCTGTAGCTCCACCGAGCAATGTTCACAGAACCTTTTTTGTGGTGTCCACGAGAAGTTCCTAGACCATTTCTGGCAGAGTCTGTCTTGCTTTGTCGCATCAAGAGAATGTTAGAAGAACAGTGTTCTTGCCCTCAGAACATGTTTGGGGTTCTGCGAGCTTTTCGTGGTAGGCCTATAGGAATGCCGGGACGGAAGGTGTCGCCGGCGCCGTGTGCTCCGAGGTGCGGCCTGCCGCCCTGGGGCGGGCGCCACGGCCGCCGGGGCAGATCCCACCGCTGACGCCGGGCCTGCCGTGGGGTCTGCCACGGCGCCGGCGGCGTCCCCCGGGGGCGCAGGACGTACAGTCGGCCGGGATTAGCAGGTCGACCTTGCCAGATCAAGGGTACCCGTTGTGTCCTGTATCTCGCGACCCCTGCCTCTTACATTCCCTGTGGCAGTGTGGCCCTCGGAGGGGTCTCGTGTCCTCTCGCGCGTCCTGTCCAAGCAAGCCCGACTGCAGGACGCAGCGCTTGCCGTGGGTTGTGCCGTGGTGTCGGCGCCGCCCCAAGGGGGGGCGCGTCGAGGCCAGGCGGCGCGGCCAGAGATCTGCGCCTGCCGAGGAGCTTGGCATCGCTCGGACGTGTGCATTTGTTCTTCGGCGAGGACCATCGAGGAGCATCCTGGATCATCGAGCAAGAAAAACACGCACGAAACCGAAAAAAAACACAGGGAATGGACGTCCGAGCGATGGCGAGAGGAGAGGAGGAGCGGCAGAGCACGAGCACGAAGAGCACGCGGCTCCCGGGGTGCGCCTCGCCCCCCCCCCCCCGCCGAGGCGGCGGTGCGCCACGCCGGCCGCTGCGCACCAGGCCCGCCGCGGAGGCCCCACGGCGGGTGGCCGGGCAGGGCCGGAGTGGGTCTGGGTATATAATAGGAGGAGGAGGAGGAGGAGGAGGAGGAGGAGGAGGTGAGGAGAGGAGGAGGAGGGGAGGAGGAGGAGGAGGGGGAGGAGGTGGAGGAGGAGGAGGAGGAGGACGAGGAGAGGAGGAGGAGGAGGAGGAGGAGGAGGAGGAGGAGGAGGAGGAGGAGGGGGAGGAGGAGGAGAGGGGAGGAGGGGAGGAGGAGGAGGAGGAAGGAGGAGGAGGAGGAGGAGGAGGAGGAGGAGGAGGAGGAGGAGGAGGAGGAGGAGTGAGGAGGAGGAGGGGGAGGAGGAGGTGGAGGGGAGGAGGAGGAGGACGGAGGAGGAGGAGGAGGGGAGGAGGAGGGGAGGAGGAGGTGGAGGGTGGAGGAGGAGGAGGAGGAGGAGGAGGAGGGAGGAGGAGGAGGAGGAGGAGGAGGAGGAGGAGGAGGAGGAGGAGGAGGTGGGAGGAGGAGGAGGAGGGGAGGAGGAGGAGGAGGAGGGGAGGAGGAGGAGGAGGAGGAGGAGGAGGAGGAGGAGGAAGGAGGAGGAGGAGGAGGAGGAGGAGGAGGAGGGGAGGAGGAGGTCGGTTGGAGGAGGAGGAGGAGGAGGAGGAGGAGGAGGAGGAGGAGGAGGAAGAGGAGGCCCCATGGCGGGCTGTTCGGGGCTCGAGAGGCGCCGGGTCCTGCAGGATCCTGCAGGGCCGGTGTGGCATGGGCCCGGGCTTGGGCGCAGGATCCTGCAGGATCCTGCAAGGCCTCACTGGCCTGGGTCTGGACTGGCTCGGGTCAGGAGATCCCGGAGAGGTTCCAAAGGAGGGGGGCGGCTAGGATCGGCCACGTGCAGAAGGGGGTAGGGGGAGGGGGGGGGCCTTCTCAAAAGCACCCCTGCTTCTGAGAAGGCGCGGGCCTTGTCTACCAATGTAATGCCAGCGCCTTCTAAGAAGCGGCCTCTCTAAGAAGCCTCCCCCCTTCCCAGCAGGCCCTCGTGCGCGCCGCCAAAATGGAGAGGGGGGCGGACAGGAGGGAGAAGCGCTCGATCCGCCCCGTCCTGCCGACGCGCGCGGCGGCGACGAGGAGGAGCCGCCGCTACGCACGAGGCGAGGGGATGGAGGTGGGGGGGGACGGGGGAGGGAAGGAGGAGGGCGGAGGCAGGAGAGGAGTGAGGGTGCGGAGGGGGCATGGAGGGGAGGAGAAGTCGTGGGCGGCCAAGAGGGGGGGATCACCAGGGGTGGGGGGGTGGGGGAGAGATCGTGTCCGGGGCCACGAGATCTCCCCCGGATTGCATGCCCCCTTTTCTCATTTCGGCACGTCCTTTGGCCCCCTCCCCCTTCCCCCCTTGGGCCGCCCACGCGCCGCGGGCCGTGGTTTGCGGCCCCGGCCCCTGGGCCGCCCTCCTTTTGGGCGGATCCGAGGCTGCAGTGGAGATGGAAGGGCGGCAGGCGGGCCATCTTGTCTTTCACTGCTTCCTCTCGTGGCGTCTGCTCGTTGCCCTTCCGCCCTTTTCGCCCCCCTTCTTGTTCCGCCCTGCGCCTGCTTCCCCATCCCGGCCTTGCCCGCGCCTGCCGACGCAGGCGGGATGCTGCCGTCTCATCCTCGTCGTTGTCGTGTCGTGCTCTCTCCCTCTCTCTCTCTCTCTCTCTCTCTTGTGGGACCTGGCCCCCACGTGCGGGCCTCGCTGGCTTCTCAGCCTGAGTAGCGATTGGACCCCAGGCCTGCATGGTGGGGTCCGAGTTCATGGGGTCGGAGGGGCGAGCCGCATCGCCAGTGCATCAGCGATGCGGCTCGATGTGAAGCCCGATGTTCGCCACGCCGACGTCGCCGATGCATCGGCGATTCACTGGCAATGCGGCGCGATCCTCCGACCCCACCTGCTCGGACCTCATGTGGGAGGCCTTTGTGGACGGCCCCACAGGAGCCCAAGCAATGGCCCCCAGAGGCCGAACTGGGGCGGAACGTTGCGTTCTGACGTCTGTCAAGACGCGGGGGTCTGGTCTGTTGTTCTTTTCCCCCCCCTCCCCCCCTCCTCCTCCTTCCTCCTCCTCCTCCTCCTCCCTCCTCCTCCTCCTCCTCTCCTCCTCCCTCCTCCTCCTCCTCCTCCTCCTCCTCCTCCTGCTCCTTTCCCTACTCCTCCTCCTCCCTCCTCCTCCTCCTCCTCCTCCCCCTCGTCCTCCTCACTCCTCCTCCTCCTCATCCTCCTCCTCCTCCTCTCTCTCCTCTCCTCCTCCTCCTCCTCCTCCTCCCCTCCTCCTCCTCCCCCTCCTCCTCCTCCTCATCCTCCTCCCCCTCCTACTCCTGGTCTCTTGTTCTTGTCCTTTTCGGACCCCCATTCTGAGGCCGGAAATAGAGAGTGGATGAAGGGAGGGGGAGGAGGAGGAGGAGGAGGAGGAGGAGGAGGAGGAGGAGGAGGAGGAGGAGGAGGAGCAGGAGCAGGAGCAGGAGCAGGAGGAGGAGGAGGAGGAGGAGGAGAAGAAGAAGAAGAAGAAGAAGACAAACATGAATAATATAGAGACGGGCGCAACGATGTTCGAGGTGCAGTGTTGACCTGATGTCGAGACGAGGAGAAGGCTAACGACGGCGACGATGGTGATGAAGACGACGGACGACGACGACGACGACGACGAAGAGCGACGCGTTCCGCCCCCTCGGGAAGCCAGGAGAGCTCTCGGACGGCTCGAAACGCCCCCTGAAGTGGAGGGAGGTTCGAAGAAGAAACGACCAAGTAAAGCAGCATCCGTGTATGCCAAGTAAAAGTAAAACAATAAGAAACAACCAAGAAGAAGCGGCGGCAAGAAACAACCAAGAACAACCAAGAAGAAACAACCAAGAACAACCAAGAAACAACCAAGAAAAACAATAAGAAACAACCAAGTAAAGCAAGTATGTACAACCAGAAGAAACAACAAGAAGAAACAACCAAGTAAAGCAACCCATCCCCGTGCGATCCTTAGGCCGCCAGACAAAAACAAAACAAGCATTTCGGTCACACGGGGTCGGTTTGCGCCTTGCTGCGCTGCGTTTCTAAAGCAGTTTTCCACACCTCGGCCGGCAGCTGCTCTGGACGGAAGAAGGTCACAAAAGCATCGACACAATTTTTCGGAGGTCCGTGCGGATTTATCGGAGCCGCGCTGGGCCCTACTGCGCGGCGCCTCCCGCGCCGCCTCCGGCGCGCTCCGCGCGCCAGGGAGAGGGGTCCAGCGCCGATCCAAGAAATCCGCTCGGACCTCCGAGCAGCTTATGTTCATGGTCCCTGTTTCTTGGTACATGCAGAACAGCAGCAGAGAATGGCCGCCATCCGTGACCACTTGAACTCGAGAGCTCGTCTTGAGAGATTGGCTACCCTCGGCAGCTCGCCTGTGGATGCCGGCGGGGCTGACGGAGTTCCTCGTGCAGGAGGCCGTGCGCTGGGCGGGTCTCACCTCGCTCTTCCACGCGAGCCGCTGGCCCGAGGCCCCCGCCTGCCCCGCGCCTCCCCCCTGCCCCGAGCTGCCGCCGTGCCCCGCGTGCCCAGTGGTGCCGCCGGGGCCGGCCAGGCCCTCGCTGGGTGTCACGGAGGCCGCGGCGCGGGCGGCCTCTGCGGGCTTCGGCGGGGGGGTGTTGTGCTGCGCCGTGGCGGCCTGGGCGCTGGGGGCCTGCCCGCAGGGACGAGGTCAGGCGGCGGGAGACGAGGGCGGACCTGTGCGCGACGGCGGCAGGGCGAGCGGTGGTGCCTCTCCTGTTGCCCGAGCTGCAGGAGTAGGCCTTCCTGCTCTGCGCGGTCCCGGGACCGCCGGTGTACCACCAGCGCCGGGTGGTAGGACGCCGGCGCTCGGTGCACTCGGCGACTGAGCTCGGAGCCCTCCTCATCGGGACGCCCGACCTGGACGTGTACGAGGAGGACTACCGCCCGAGCTCTCTGGGCACGGACATCGTGCAGGTGGTGTTTTCCGCGGCTCGCTGGCCTCCACCAGCGGGCGCCCCGAGGGCCCAGGCCTACCGATTCCGCGACGACCTCACGGGCTTGGAGCTCGCGGCGATGCAGGACGCCGCCCGCGTGGGCGGGGCGGCTCCGGTCGCTGGAGGACCAGGCGGCCGGCGGCGCGGGCGCGCCGGTGCCAGCGGACGCCTTCGTGCCGCTGCCGGCGATCGCGGGCGTGCTGGCCACAGAAGCGCCGGCGGCCAGCGCTGGAGGCAGGCCGTTGGCGGTGCCTGGCGGAGCGCCGGTGCCCATCGCGGGGGGGGGCCCCCCTGCTGCACCGGCGCAGCCGTGGTGGCAGCCGCTGCGCCCCCTGCCGGGGCAGCGCCTGCCGCGCCTCTGCCGGCGCCAGCCACGCCTGGAGGCCATCGACGGGCTCGTGACGTACGAGGCTGGACACGGGCTCGAATCCCCAGGGGGGCCGTCGCTGGCGGGGGGCGCGGGGCGGCCAGAGGCAGGTTGTGGCGCCGCCGAGCGGGCACGCCGCCTTCGCAGCCTTGGTGTCCGAAAGTGAGGTCGCCCAGTTCAAGCGCGAGTTGAAAGGAAGCGACATGCGCTCCCTGCCCGTGATGCGCACCGCCATCGACCGCGAGAGACCGTGGGCGTTTGTTGTAACCGATTGCACGGAGGAGGACATCGCAGACTTCGGCGCGAAGCCTCCCAGGTCGGCCAAGGGGTGTGCAGCGTACCAGCAGAAGGATGGCGGCCCGATGCTCCGCTCAGAGATGCGGAAGGCTCGGCGTCGGTTGCAGGACTCAAGCCACGGCGTTGGCGAGCACGGAACGTTGAGCATAATAGTGGAGACCCTCGGGACGGTGGACCAGCTGGACGTGTACAATCTCGCGGGCGTGGAGGTGGCGTACAGGAAGCTCCAGATGATCGAGTACTATTGAGATGAGCGGCGCCAGGATCAGCACCAGCAAACGGCAAGCAGCCCTTGGACGAGGTGCAGACGTTCCTCGGCGGCGGCCGCTCGCCCAGCATGGCGCGCCCAGAGCTGCTGGATCGGGTGCCGAAGGAGCTGGAGCGAGTTGCAGGCATCAAGAAGAATGCGAGGAAGCTCAGGGAGGAGCAGGTCGCCATGTCCAAGAAGAGCGGCGCTCATCCCGCGAAATCATGACGCAGTGCACGCCGCCTGGCCCCCCCCCCCCAGGTGGCCCCTATGTGCGGGGGGGGGGGGGGGGGGGCGCGCGAGCCGGATCGCAGTCGGACTCTGCTGCCGCTGCCACTGCCGGCCCGTTGCGCGGCGGGCGCCGGGCGGCCCTCGGGGCGCCGCGGCCGCGGGCGCGCAGCTGGGCAGGCTCGCCAGGCGGGCCTTCTTCGCGAGCCGATCCAGACGCTGAACCAGATGGACGCTGGAGAGGATGATGCGCATCGGCGACTTCTGGACAAGCCTTGCCGAGCCCAGGAACTCGCGCTGGAACGCTTGTCCCAATATTGCGCGGAGTTTGGCGCCCCGCCGCCTGATCCAACTGCCGACGCGGCCCTTCGGGAGCTGCAGGTCAGTTCGGCGCGCGGGGCTGAGGGGCCCCAGACGCTGGCACCTTTGAGTTTCGACCTCGTCTCACTGCCGCAGGCGGGCGCACGGCCGCGCCCCCTGGATGATTTGCAGGGGCGGGATGGCCCGCCTCTGCTCAAAGTCCCCCTTGGCAGCAAGGTCCTGCCAAGTCGACTTGCCGACGAGCGGGGGGCGGAAATGCATGTCTCGACCCTGTCCTCCGCGAGCCATCGGCGCGGGCTCAGCTCGCCCGTGGGGCGTTGGAGGCAGGCGCGCTGGACCTGGCGCCAGATTCGGTCGAAGCACGCGGAGGGGGTGGGCACGTTCGCGGTGTGGGAAAAAAAAGATGGCAGACAACGTCTGGCGGTAGACTTTAGAGTCCGTAGTTTTCACATCGAGGAACCAGGGCGCGCGGCACTCGCGTCGGGCGCTAGCTTAGTCCCGACTGAGCTTCCCGAAGGGGGGACTTGTGAGTCTCTGGCATCGATATGTGCGATGCGTTCTACCGCGCGGGCCCCCCTCTCGGCCCCCGCCCCTTCCTCTCGCTTCCGCGCGCGAGGGCAGAGGGCGTTGGAGTCTCTTCTTTAGATGGGCGGCCTATTGGACCGCGAGGGTGGCTGGGGCAGCGTTTTGCTGCACCCCCCACGGAACGGTCTCATGCCATGGCTTTTTGTCAGCGAGTTCACGAGGGAGTCCCGAGAGAGCGCGCGGGACCCGGCGACGTCGATCGCCTGGTCGACGGGCGCGTCGTTCCTCCGATTTCAGAGGGCGCGCATTTACATTGCAGTAGGTCGATAATTTGTTGGGCTTAGCCACCTCCGCCGAGAGAGCCGGCGAGCCCCTCCCCCTTGCGACGGAGCCGCCGTCCGCGGCCGGGCTTCCTCTGCGCGGGCCCGACGAGGCCCCCCGGCCCCATGAGAGTTCGGGTTGGGTCTTTGCAGGAGAGGAGGGGGCCGCGCGGCCAAAGTCTCGGAGGATCTGGCGCTTGAGGATAGGCACGTTGGCCCTGCTTGAACGGGGTACGGCCACGGGCCGACAAGTCAATAAGCTCGTGGGCCACTTCGCCTTTGTGGGGCTCGCTCGCAGGCAGTTCTCGTGAGTTGTCGATGCCGCGCGTCGCGTCGCGACCGAGCATCGAGACGCCTCGCGGCCGTTGCCGGAAGGAGTCCGACGCGAGTTCCGTTGGGCAGTTCGTTTGTCGCCGCTGCATTGGGCAGGTCTTCGGGCCGAGTGGGAGACGAGGGCGCGCGCAACTGATGCCAGCGAGCAGGGCTGCGGCGTTGTCCGGAGGGAGGTCCCGACCGACGCGGAGAGGGAGATGGGGCGCGAGAATGATCGCTGGCGTTCCCAAGTTCAGGACGTTGGCGAGGGGCCGGCGCGCCCTCGCGATTGTCTTGGAGGCAAAGGCGTAGGCGAGGGCCGCGCGGCCCCAGGTATCCAGGAGGTGCCCCAGGAGATCCTCAACGGGCGCTGGCAGGTGGCATCTAGCGTGGGTTGGGCCCGGGCGGAGCACGTCGCGGCCCTCGAAGGGCGGGCCCTCGCGCACGCTATCCGCCATGCACTCCGGGACATTCGTGCGTTCGGAAAGCGGGCCCTCTTTCTTTCGAACAACCGGTCGTCGGTTCTGGCTCTTATCAGAGGCCGTTCGTCCTCTCGAGGCCTGCTGCGAGTCTCGCGGCAGCGGGCGGCATGGTGCCTCGCGGGGAGGGCGCCGCCGGCGCTGCGGCGGCTGGCGCCGGGCGCAACCCCGCGGATGCTCCTTCGCGGCAGCGCGCCCCGAGCGGGATCTGGCTGGACTTCTGCTGCGACGCCGAGGCTGGCGAGGTCAACCGCTAGCCTGAGCGCGACGGAAGCGAGGCCAGCCGCCGCCGCGACTGTCGCCAGGTCTTTGCCGAGATCGCAGAGCTGGACGCCGACCTCTGTCCCGTCGCAGGTCGTGCTCCGCGACGTCGCCGGCCCCCCGCCGCCTTCGAGGCGCGGGAGGCCCTGCCCCTCAGGGGCTCTGGCGACCACGGCGGGGCGCGCGCCTGCGAAGCGGCGGTCGCTGGGAGCAGCCGCCCCAGCGGAGCCGCGGCCGCTGCCAGGGCGCGCGGGCCGCCAGACCCGAGCTCGGCGACGGCAGGCGGCCGAGCAGGCTCGGGCCCCTCCGCCCGAGGGCCGGGCGCGCATGCAGCAGCGGTCGGTGACCCTGCGGACGCTGGCGACACACCGGCCCGCCCGGCAGCGGATCGCGGCGTGGCGCGGCAGCTCGCTGGAGCCCGAGGCGGCGCAGCTGCGCCGGCGCGAGTCGGCAGGGGCGCCGCTGGCCAAGCTCCTCGACGAGCGGCTGGCGCCGTGACTGGCGCCGTGGATGGACGTGGAGCACCTCGACGGCGAGCCAGCGCACTCAGGGTCGCTCCTGCTGGCGGCGGCGAAGTTCCACCTGCCCGCATTCGGGCGCGGGGGCGGAGGCAAGTCCCCGAAGGCGGTCCTGTCGCTGCGGGGCTTGGGGGGCAGTGGCGCTGCTGGCGAGCCAACTGGTGCGAGACGGCTTTCGGGCTTTGGCGGCGCTGGCCCTCCTCGCGTTTCACTGCAATCTGAGGCCCGCCGAGGGGTTCAGTCAGACGCGAGAGATAGCGGCGCCGCCGGCGACGAGGAGTCGCCACCAGCGCCGGCCCCCGGTGCTCCATCCTTTCGAGGCCACCGCCGCCAGCAAGACGCGCCCGTTCGACGCGTCCGCGGCGGTGGGCAAGCCCGACTTCGAGGTGCTGCTGGACCCGGCGCCGCGCTGGCCGAGGCAGGCGACGCCGCCTGGGCAGCGCAGCTGTTCGCCTGCAGCCAGGCGCAGCCGGTGGAATGGTTCCGCGAGGCGGCCGAGCGGAGCGGCGTCAGCGCCCCGAGGCCAGAGCTGCGCGCGCCCCGCCACAGCAGCCCAACGTTCGACCAGGCCACGCGGCAGAGGACGTTGCGCGAGATCAAGTTGCGAGGGCGCTGGATGTCGGACACTTCAGCACAGAGTGTTAAGGCCCAGTGAAGCGACCACCCCCCCTTTAAGTTTCGTTCAGTGCGTCTCCCGAGCGTCGCCCGTGCGCCGGCCCTGGTTTGCGTCTCTGTCCCAAATCCCGGCCTCCCAGAGTGCGTGGGCGACATATGGCGCGACTTCGGAATTTCTGGCGACATCTAGGTTTCCGACGCCGGTGCACCAGCAGCCATTTTGGCGGTCGCGGCGCACTCTAGTTCGACGGTCCACCAACGCGTTCTGTTTCCAATCCGGCGCAAGAGGATTTGCTGGTGCTCATTCTCGGGGGCGCCAACCGTTGCTGAGGACGAAGACGCCTGCGGCACCTCTGTGCCACAGAGGTGCCGCAAGAAGGGGCGCGTGGCAGAGCAGCTGCATCTGCTCCCCGTCGCCGTCCGAGTGCGCGTCCTGGCGCCGGTGCCCGTTACGGGGCCCCTCCTCGCGAGGCCTTCGAGCGCCTCGTTCCCGCTGGACGCCTAGGGCGTGCGCGACCGCAGATCTTTTTAGAGATCTTCGGCGGCTGCGGCCGACTGGCGGCGGCGCTGCGCGAGCTGGGCTGCGCGGTTTTGGAATGGGATGTGGTGCGAGGGCCTAGCTGGGATCTAATGCCCCGGTCCAACCAGCAGCTGATCCGCGGGTGGATCGCGGGCGGCCGCGTCTGGGGATTGCACCTGGCGGCCCCATGCAGCACGTGGCCCAGGGCGCGGGACAGGGGCCCCATGCGCGGCCCCGCCCATCCGCGCCCGGGGCCGCCCTCCAGGCTGCGCAGCGATCTGCATCCTCGCGGTTTTCCTGATCTATTGCCTATTGCGCCCTGATGGTAAGGAAGCTGTGTATACCGGCAACGAATTAGCGCGATTCCGTATCAGTCTGATGGAGCAGATGAAGCACTAGCAGTTGCCAGCGACTATGGAGCATCCGTCGTCCTCCCGAATGTGTTTGTTGCCCCGCCTGCAGAAGGATCAGAGGGGTCAGAACGCTTCAGTTTTTGGGCGCGTGTTTTTGCACGTTTGGTGACAAGTGCAAGGAACCGACACGTTCCCTTGGTTATCGGATCGACCTCACAGGCGTGAAGAGGCGCTGCTCTGGTCGACTGCGCCGCCGCGCCCGCCGACCCTTCTCACCCTGTCTGGTTTTGATGGGCCCCGCGGCTGGCCCACAAGAAGAAATGCCCCGTTGAGTTGCGCCCTCCTTTGGCCCGAGCTTTTTCGAATGCCCGCGCAGCTCGCGATTTAACAATGCCCTCTCGAGCGTGGCTATAAGATGATGTTTAAATGACTGCCGAGGGCAGAACCCACCCACCCACCCTGAGACGGCCTGTTTTGGGGCAAGTGCGGGAGTTATTGTCGCGCCCCTTTCGGGCCTCGCAAGGTTTCAATTGAAATTCAGTCGCGGACTGTTTCGGGCCCTGCGGCGCACCTGCCCCGAACTTCCGCGGCGCCCTGCGCCGCCGCCAAGATCTCGGAGGTAAAAGGGTCTGCCCGAAGCTCGCTCAGAGGCAACGCAGACCCACTCGAGACCTCAGAATTATGTATTCGCCTCGACCACGGGGCGACGCGCAAGGGCATGGCCCCTGTTTACTAGTGCATGCAGAACAGCAGCAGAGAGCGGCAGCCATCCGCGACCGCTCGAGCATGAGAGCTCGCGCCCCCGCCCCCCCCCCCCCCCCCCCCCCCGGGAGTTTCTGCCGCGCCCCTTTCGGGCCGCAGAGTTTCGATTGGAATTCAGTCGCGACCCGTCTCGGGCCCCGCGGCGCACTTGCCCTGAACCTCCGCGGCGCCCCGCGCCGCCACAGAGATCTCGGACGTAAAAAGGTCTGCCCGAAACTCGCACAGAGGTTGCGCGGCCCCACTCGAGATCTCAGAGTTGTCTCTTCGCCTTGGCCGCGGGACGATGCGCATAGGCATTGCTATGTCGCCGCGCCGATTGTTGCGACGAGCAGACTTGCATATGGGGGGGGGCGCCGCGGCCGGACGCAGGGCTCGCTGCGGAGTTCGTTCTGGCGCCAGTTGCACTTCCTCCGGCGTGGAATGCAGGGTTTGGCGCGGCGCCGGCGGCGCCCACTTGGGCGCGTCGAGAACGAGCGGCGCGTTGTCATATGTTTTTCTGATGAAGGCGCAGGAGGGACTCAGGGGAGCCACGCGAAATTCAATGGGGAGACTTTGCCAGGAGCCCCGGCAAAGTTCGAGACGAATTGCGACCCGCATCGTCGCAGCTCATGGGAAGCCTTGTCACAGCCCACGACTGGGCAAACCGCGCCGACTATGTGCAGACATCGCAAGGTGGAAGTGACGCACCCCAGCTGGCTCTACGCACGAGTGCAATTATCTCACATTGTGGCACCATCTCGTAGAAGTACGTGTTAGTGGTCGACTGTTTGATTACATTGCGTCGCACACGCGGTGTTGAACAGTCTCCTTAGGCCCGCCTCCACCTACCTGCCCTCCTGCTCTGGTCATCTTCATCATCGTTGCCAACATCAGCATCATCATGAGCATCATCATCATCAACAACAGCAGCATCGTCATCAGTTTTAGCTTCAACCTACTCATCATCGTCATCAACATCCTGATCACCCTTCTCATCCTCCGCCGTCAACGTTCTTCTCGTCGTCCTCCCCATGTTTCTCCTGCTGATGCAACTGATGATGTTGCCGGTGCCCCATCCCCCTCCTCCTCCTCCTCCTCTTCCTCCTCCTCCTCTTCCCTTCTTCTTCTTCATCATCATCAGCAGCATCAACATTATCGGCAGCATCAGCATCATCATGGCCATCCTCCTTATACTCAACAGCAGCAAAATCATCAGCAGCAGCTTTTCATCATCATCATCAGCAGCATCATCATCGTCATCCTCATCAGAATCATCCTTCTGATGCTCCTCCTCCTCCTCCTCCTCCTCCTTTCCTTCCTCCTCCATTCCTTTTCTTAAACATACCTTTTCCCTGTCGCACCCCGAGGCCAGTTTTGAGGGGGCACCGGGCGTTTCGCCTGAGACCTCCTCACTAAGATTCTGAAGCTTCAACATGGGCAACAATTTTACAGATGGGGAGCGGGTGGTTTTCAAAATGTGGCTCTCGCCTTCGCGCGGCGCACATTCGGTTTGAACATCTTCACGGATTGAGGGCGGGTGGTTTTCAAAATGTGGTGTTCGCCTTAGCGCGGCGTACATTCGTTCTAACATGTTGCAAGAGCTTCACGGGTTGAGGGGGGTGGTTTTCAAAATGTGGTTTTTCTCGCTTTAGCGCGGCGCACATACGTTTTAACATGTTGTAAGGGTTTCACGAATTGACGGCTGGTCGTTTTCTAAATGCGGTTCTACCTTTAGCGCGGCGCACCTTTGTTTTAAACACACGGCAAGAGCTTCACGGATCGAGGGCGGGTGGTTTTCAAAATGTGGTTCTCGCCTTACCGAGGCGCACAGTCTTTTTAACAATTTCCAAAAGGTTCACGGATTGAGGGCGGGTAGTTTTCAAAATGCGGTTCTCGCCTTAGCGCGGCGCACATACATTCTAGCATGTTGCAAGAGCTTCACGAATTGAGGGCGGGCGGTTTTTCAAAATGTGGTTTTCGCCTTAGCGCGGCGCACATTCGTTTTACACATTTCCAAGATCGCCATGGATTCCCATCGATCCGTGGCGTTGGAATCCTGTGAACAATATTTTGGCATGCTTCAGGGTCGTCAAACGGCTGTCGTCAAAAGGGGCAGCTCTTTCAATGGAAATGAGCCATTGTAGGGGCCTATAAAGAGGGAGCGTGGAGGGAGGGTGCATTCCAACATCGTTGATGATTATTGGGTTTACACTGGTTCTCCTCCTCCTCCTCTTCCCCCTCCTCGCCGACCTTCGGCTTGCAATTGTCGGACCCTCGGAACAGAGCCTTTGGAGGCAGGTTATGCTCCTCCACACTCACCGTCTATTGCGTGCCGAAGCCGAAAGTTGAGGCCTCGAAGTCATTCCCACAGAGACTGTCTGAGCCATCGGCCGATCGGCAAAGTCGATCACCCATCTGGCCATGGGATGGTCACTCATTGATCATATCATGACGCTGTGCCTCCTCCTCATCCTCCTCCTCCGCCTCCTCCTCCTCCTCCTCCTCCTCCTCTACCTCCTCTTCAACCTCCGCGACATGATCGGACATGGTCAGGCGAGCAGCGTCCCGATGGATCAGATCAAGCAGATGTTGAAGGAGCACACCGCAGGAATCGTGGCGGAGGTGCAGAAGTCTCTGCTAGGAGCCATATGCCGCCCACCGCCCGCCGTTCCGAACTGGCAGGGGAGGAGAAGGAGGAGGAGGAGCAGGAGGAGGAAGAGGAGGAGGATTAGGAGGAGGAGGAGGAGGAAGAGAAGCAAGAGGAGGAACAGCAGGAACAGCAGGAGCAGGAGCAGGAGTAAAAGCAGGAACAGGAGCAACAAGATGAGGTGGAGGAGGAGAAGAAAAAAGAGGAGAGGAAGGAGGATGAGGGGGTGAAGGAGGGTGGACGGGGAAGAGGAGGAGGAGAAGGAGGATGATGATGAGGAGGAGAAGAAGAAGAAGGAAGAGGAGGAGGAGGAGGAGGAGGAGGAGGAGGAGGAGGGGAAGAGGAGGAGGAGGAGGAGAAGGAGGAGGAAGAGGAGGGCAGGAGAGGAGAAAGAGGAACGGTATAACGAGGAGAAGGAGGAGAAGGAGGATGAGGGAGAGGCGGAGGAGGAGCAGGAGAAGAGCAGGAGGAACCGTAGAACGAGGAGGATGAGGAGGAGGAGGAGGAGGAGGAGGAGGAGGAGGAGGAGGAGGAGGAGGAGAAGGGGGAGGAGGAGGAGGAGGAGGAGGAGGAGGAGGGGGAGAGGGGGAAGGGGAAGAGGAGGGGGGATAGAGTGGTAGGACCCCCTGCCGCCGCCCGCCGTCAGCCACTCCCAGCAGGGCAGTGAAGGAGGAGGAGGAGGCAGAATCAGGGTCAGGGTCAGGACCAGGAGTGGGAGCACGCGCAGGAGGGGGGACCCAAGCGAAGGTGGTGCAAGGGCGACTAATAGATGAAATGGTGGAGGAGGAGGAGGAGGTTGGTTGGTTGTGTGGTTGGTTGGTGACCTCCCAGCGAGTTGGCATGTCGGGACTGCGGGTTCAGCCTCTTGAATTAGTGGAGAGCTGCGGGGCCCAACCGGCGACTGACAACAACCCCACAACGTCAGCCCAGGGATGGATGAGACCACCCTCGGGAAGCAGCACTGGGAGAGAGGGGGGGTGCGAGGACTTGCGTGCCACCGTGCCCAAACCTTCCTCAGCTCACAGGGTCCCTCCGGGGAGGTGCCATGTCCAATGCCCGAAAGCAAACGCTAGATTTGGGTCTTCCTGGTGAGGGGGCATCAGCGGCCCTGCGGCAGGGATCCTCGCCCGGTGTCGACTCCATCCTGCGCCAACGCACGACGTAGGTACGAGGCTGACCAGATGGAGGGAGAGAGGATCAGACCCAGAGGGGAGAGATTTTTCCCAGACAAGGGTCGCCGATTGTTCCAGGATATCTACTAGCGACGCTGCCTCGGAGAAGCTTGCATCCGCTGGCGACGTACTCAGCAGGACGCGGGCGCAGTCCTCCCTAGATTCGGGTTTCGCTCTTCCCCTCGGGCCTGCCAGAAGGCAGCGCGCAACTGTTGTGCGGCCCCGCAGGCGCCTGAGACGTGAAAAAGGTCGGGCTGTGGACGGCGCGTTGGCAGAGGATGCAACGTTGTTCCTTAGCCCACGACTGGCGCCCCTGCGCGTGAGCAAGCAGGGCGAGGCGGCACCGAAGCCGTGACAGAGGATGTGGACCCCGTAAGTCTTCCCGTGGCAACGACAACGCCATGGCTCCCTGAGGTCCCCCCGCGGGACGAAGCCCAGCAAGAACAGACGGAAAGACCGCGCCTGTTTTTGTGGGTTCTGTTGAAGCCAGCTGCGACAGTGAGCCTCCGCCAGCGACCGGACGCACTCCTTGTACCGCACCCGGGCGCCTGCTCCTGCCGACGCGCGCCGCCCCGGCCTTTCTGGCAGACCCCAGGAATCGAGGAGAGCCAAGGAGGACCTTGCCCAAGCATCGCCTGCCGCCACATGTCCTTTCACAAAGATTACTTTGGAGGGGGAGGAGGGGGAGGGGAAGGGGGAGGGCGAGTGGTTCGACGAGAAGGTTGGGTAGGAGGAGGAGGAGGAGGAGGAGGAGGAGCAGGAGGAGGAGGAGGACGAGGAGGAGGAGGAGGAGGAGGAGGAGGAGGAGGAGGAGCAGGAGGAGGGGGAGGAGGGGGAGCGGGAGGGGTCCGACGAGAAGAAAACCTGATGGGGCAGGCTGATGAGAAGGAGGAGGAGGAGGAGGAGGAGGAGGAGGAGGAGGAGGAGGAGGCGGCGGAGCAGGAGATTCTGGAGACCCTGACGGATGAAGCCCGCGGCCCGACCACGGGGCTGGGCGGCGTCTCGGGGGCCGCGGCCGAAGATGAAGCCGCAGACGAACACGAAGCCGCCCGAGATGAAGAAGCCGCCGAAGACGCCCCGCGCGCCCCAGCGGCTACCGTACGGTAGGTTCACGCGGCAATGGCGCGCTGGCGACGCTAGCGAAGGCGTTCAAGGTTGAACTCCGCCTGACGATATAAAGACGCGGAACCCCACCGAGGGTCACGGTAACGTCACAGGACCCGACGGAATTCAATGTTGAACGATCGGGGCCGCGATCGGTTCAAGGCTGAACGATCGACGCGGTGTCAAAAACCTGCGCGCGCCGACGCCGCACGAATTCACCGTGGGAGCTGTCCCCCGAAGGGAAGGGGGGGAAGGGCATTGACCCTCTGCAGAGGCGTACCCGCCCTGCTCGCCGCCAGGAGCTCTCAGCGCGCACGGGCGCGCTGGCGGCAGCGGGCCCCGCCACGAAGTCGGCGATCGCTTCCCCGAGTGTGCGGAGCGCTGCGCCGAAGACGGGCTGGGCGGAAAGGGCGCCACGCAGCAGCCGAATGGCAAGAATGAACCAACGACGCTCCGAACTTGTCCCCCGCTCAACCATGGCATCCCTCGCCGCGTCGGACCTGGCGGCGCCTCCGTCATCCCGGCGCACCCCGCCAAAATGGCCGTCCTGCACTTTCCGTCGGCACCGACACGGCCTGCGACGCTTCCTGCTCGCTGGGCGCAGCGGGGGGGCGCGAACGAAGCTGACCTTAGCAGCCGCCGCCACAGCGGGGGCTTTGATCGCAGCCAGCTTGGCCTCGATTTCCGCGTCGTACACACCAGCCACTGAGACGAAGTATTTGTTGATGCCCAAATCCGAATCTATGTCAGGCGCTTTCCTACTTCAAGAGTGGGGTAGTCTTCCACATTCCCTCCCCTTCGGGGGGCGGGCGGAAGCCCAATCTACTTTCAACGCCTTCCGAAGTCATGTTTCGACCCACTTCTTCTGACTGACGCGCAGCCGTCGCCAGCTGCCGCCACGCACGGGCACCGTCCCGCTCGCCAGGTGCGGGGCCTGGAGGGGGTGCGGGACGGGCGCCGTCGGTGGCCTCGGCTGTCGCCTCCTGCGCCTCCGCGGGCGCCTGCACCTCACAGCGCAGCAGCCAGCGCGTCTCCGAACCGCGGTGGCTCCCCCGCGCAGCGACGGCAGTGAGGGTGCGCGCAGTGGCGCGGCCCTCCGCTCGACGGCGCTGCGCCCGCGTTCGTCCGCGGTGCGGTTGGGCTGCGCACGCCAGGGCGCTGCGCCAGCGAGCCCTGGCGTGGACATGCGCGCGGGCTGGGGAAGGGAGGTGCGAACGAAGGTGAGCAGCGGCCGAGGGTGGCCGCCTGACGCGGGCCCGTTGGACCCGAGGGGCATGTGCCGAGATGGCAGCTGGAGGTGGAGGGAGAGATGGAAGAGGAGGAGGAGGAAGAGGAGGAGGAGGAGGAGGAGGAGGAGGAGGAGGAGGAGGGGGAGGAGGGGGAGGAGGAGGAGGAGGAGGAGGAGGAGGAGGAGGAGGAGGAGGAGGAGGAGGAGGAGGAGCAGAAGCAGGATGAGGTGGAGGAGGGGGAGGTGGAGGAGAAGGGCGAGGAGGTGGACAGGAAGTAGAAGGAGGAGGAGGAGAAGGAGGAGGCCGACCAATGGAAACCCAAGACATCAACGATATTAGACAAAACCCTCCTTCCAAACTCCCTCTTCACAGGCCCCTACAACGGTTCGATTTTATTGGGGAAACTGCCCCGTTGGAAGACAACCGTTTGAAGACACTGAAGCATGCCAAAACATTGTTCACAGGAATACAACGCCACGGATCAAACTGGATGGTGCGTTTTAGCGATCCTGAATCGTGCTAGGTAGCGAGACTTGGGATTTCAACACCGCGAACCAATGTATTTGCTGCACACGCGTAATCTGGAGTCCTTCCAACAAAAAACATTCCTGGTACGCTGATGATGGGATTATCTGAAATTCTTGCAAGTGTTATAAACGAATGCGCGCGACGCGTAGGCGAGAGCCATATGTTGAAAGAGTTGGTGTAGTCACACCCTTGCCTTGCTTCAGCATCATCTACTGACATTTACAGAAGCTGCTTTGGTTCCGGTCGCAGGAAAGGACCGCTCCACCCGCCGCGCGCGCGCCCAGCCAGCCGGGTCGTCCCCCATTCGGATCTTAGCCATAGTTTAACGGCACAGCACCACACTAAACCATGGTTACAAGGAGCACTTCTCCCATACATCGCTTGGTTCTGAGCGTGAAATTATTTCAAGAAAAAGATCACCATGAAGAACAACTACACGCATTGCCGTCCAACTGGGCTGCGAAAGCTCCCCTTCTGACGGAGAGCTGGCAAAACAGCGGCTACCATCCGAAGGTTATATTATCGATAGAAGCGTGTCACCAGATGGGGAAACTAGGTTTCTCCCTGCGGTTGATGATGCACGAGAGAAAGAAGACCAATGCCACGGCGTAAGTATGAACGCTTCTGGAGCTGTTTCGGCCGACCATGTCGGGGAGCAAAGCCATAGCCCCCATTTCAAAGATGAATATTTCAAAGCCCCCGACGCAAAGCCAAAGCCGCGGGAATATTTCCCACGGCGATGAGCATCGCCCGGACACTCCGAGGCCACTGGCGACAAGAAGCCCGACTGGCACGAGGGCGGCGAGCAGATGCCGCTACCAATCGACGGCCAGCCCGACGTTTACATCGACCTCTCGGGCGGCGAGCAGGACGTGGAACCCACGTCGTCAGAGGAGAACTCCCCCCGAAAATCAGCGCCAGGACCGATGGCCCATGATAGTGTCCGCCTGTCGCAGAAAAA